ATACTAGCTCTCCTACTACTTGTCTCACAGCTCTGTATTCTGCTTATGCAGAGGATAAAGAAACTGTGGCTTGTTTCTTAGACTTCCAACTGATAGGACTATCACCCATAAGCACTAGATAACCACTAACTGACTTCCTTGAATCAGGACAAGCAGCCCAGTCTGAGTCACAATAGGCACTAACAGTAAGGTCAGGTTTGTTTGAAATGAAGATTCCCATTGTAGGATCTTGTCTCAAGTATCGAAGAACATGATAACCTGCTTTCAAGTGTGGTTCTCTGGGTGTTTGCATAAATTGGCTGAGATGCTGCACACTATAGGCTATATCCATCCTAGTATTTGTAAGAAAGTTAAGTTTTCCTATCAACTTCCTGTAATAGGTAGGATCAGACAATGGCTTCCCATCTGTGGCTTTCAACTTTTCAGTACAATCAAGGGGTGAGGCTGCAACTTTACAGTTGAAAGAATCAAACTGTAACACCCCGTATTCAAAACAGACCAAAAATGCAGATTTTGAGAAGTTGCAGGTGCAACTTACGGTCACCATCCACGGACCGTAGGTCAGACCACGGCCCATGCTGGTGGACCGTGGTTCACCACTGCAATCCCTCCCCAGCCAGCTCAGAAAAATTGGCTAAGTCTCGACCCACGGACAGACCCACGGTCCGTAGATCAGACCACGGTCCGTGGTTTGTGTCCGTGGATCAAGACCTCCTTTACCCAGCCTCTGACATGACCTACGGTTTACCAGCACGGACCGTCGTTCGATCCACGGTCCGTAGGTCTGACCGTAGATCGAAGGTTAGCAGCCAGTTAGCTGAAAATTCTGATGGGTCAACTTCAGATGATCATAACTTTTAGCACAAAATGAATTATGTGTCCCATAACATATGGTTAGATAGATAATTGAATTATCTTTCCAACGCCACCGAGTTTGCTAAATTCCGACCTCCGAGTAAAAAATTATGCTCGTTTTAGTGAAGGCCTGTCGAACAGGCTTGACTTACGGACGCAATCTACGGACCGTAGATTGACCTACGGCCCGTAGGTCCAATCCGTAGGTCACTCCGACAGCAGTTAATTCAGGGGTCTTTTGGTCTTTTCCTATTTCGTTTAACCCCTAAGATACGTCGTTTAGACCCTAAATCATGAGGTTTTAATTAGTTTAAGCCTAGAAACATAACTAGAACTTGCCTTAGTCAAAATCATTAATCAAACTTAGAAAATTAGAAGCAAGAGAGGAGAAAAAGGTCAAGAACCCTAGTTCAAGAACGCAGCGAGGTTTCTTCAGTTCCAGCCCCGAAATCAAAAAATTTCTCCGTGGAATTCGTCACCAGGTATGTGGGATTTCACTAGTGGGTTCCTTTCGCCCATTAGGTCCCTAGAATTCAGTCAGATTCTTGATTCCATGATTATGAACAGACCTAGGGTTTCTAGAATTACAGCAGATCATCATGAATTAGTTATTTAAATGTTCCAAATCAGATTAATCAAGTTATTGCTCAGTTTATCGCATGAATTTCAGAACCCTAGCTATGTATTTCTTTAGTTCTTGAATTACACATGCTAGGTCAGATATTTCAGTATTCAGTTTTACATGCCTCAGTTTATGAATGCATCATTATCAGATTAATTGTTGCATTCTCAGTTTGCATGTTCAGTTTCGAGCTATCCAGTATTTACAGAAATTCAGTCATAACTAGTTAACCACTTAATTCATTGGGAGTAGCATAATACCGAGTTGGACTAGGGTTTCAGCGTACCCATATAGTCCCAGAACTACGAGCCACGTAGGTGTAAGTCCCCTATGTGGGCAACATCAGTTTAGTGATCACGCCAGCATGCCTCTATACCTCTGGCAGGGTATATTGGGTCCTCTCGATGGGGCGTATACATCGGACTCCACATTTAGCTCATGTGGTTTTATGTCGGTTATTAGTAGCTCCCACAGTTCAGTCAGACTCTATTGCATTGACCATATTTCAGTACAGTCAGTATTCAGTCTCAGCATGTTATAAATTTGGTCATTGCATTCAGTTAGCTCAGTATTCAGTATCTATATCATGTTCAGATTATTTCATTGCTTTATTGCTTTGTTCAGTTATATGTTCTTTCAGTTTTACTCTATCTTGCATGCTCAGTACCTTTCAAGTACTGACGCATACGTGCGCTACATCTTCTTGTGATGTAGGTTCAGGTTTTCAGTATCCAGATCACGCTTAGATCAGTTCTCGATCTTCAGTTCAGCAGAATCAGTTGGTGAGTCCTCATTCTTCGGGGACAATAGTCATGAGTTTCTTTTCAGTATTTTAGTCCTTTAGTTTCAGTTTTACTAGATCTAGTTGGGGCATGTCCCAACATTTCTAGTCAGTTTAGAGGCTTATTTCAGACATAGTTAGATTCAGCTTAGTGTTTTGAGTTTGATATTTCTTTTGTATTAAACTCTCAGATTTGATATATTCAGTTATAGTAAATAGGTATTCCCCATCTTTTCAGATTTATTTATAAATTAGCTTCCGCATCAGTTGATTATCTTTAGTATGCTCATGATCATGCCAGCAGGGTTAGCTTGGGATCACTTGTGGTCCTAGGTCCCGTGTCCGCGTCTCGGGGGTAGCTCGGGGCGTGACACAAACTCCTTCAAGAGGTCAGTGGTAAACTTCCTTTGTGAAATGAGAACTCCATCAGGCCTGTACAATATTTCTAACCCCAAAAAATAGTGTAGTCTACCTAGATCCTTTATCTTGAACTGATCATGCAAAAATGATTTCAAAGAATTGATTTCCTCCAAATCAGTTCCAGTCAAGATCACATCATCTACATAGATGGCAACAAACACCAAAGAAGCTCCCTTTCTCTTATAAAATAGTGAATAGTCACTATCTGAATGTATGTATCCTTTTGAACAAAGACTGCTGGCCAATTTTTCATACCATTGTCTACTAGCTTGTTTCAAACGATACAATGATTTCTTCAGTCTGCACACCATACGTGGACTGTCCACTGCAAGACCTTGTGGCAATGTCATATATACTTCCTCATTCAAGTCACCATGAAGGAAAGCATTATTAACATCCAATTGATACAGATTCCAACCCCTCTTGACAGCCAAGGTGATAAGGGTCCTAACAGTGGTCATCTTAACCACAGGAGAAAAAGTCTCATTATAGTCTATACCAGCTTGTTGAGTATACCCCTTAACTACTAGCCTTGCCTTGAACCTCTCCACATTACCATCTGCCTTATGTTTGATTTTGTATACCCATTTACAGCCAATAGCATTCTTCCCTTTGGGTAGGAGGACCAGTTCCCAAGTATTATTTGCATACAATGCTTCAAATTCTTGTGTCATTGCCTTCTGCCAGGCAGGATACAAGATTGCTTCTTCATAGGAAGAAGGTTCACAGTCATGTGATATAGTTTCAATCAACTGCTGACTATTAGAACATAAAGAGGTGAAACAAACACTATCATGGTTGGACACAAAAGAAGTGAGGGAGTGATGTGGGCTGGAGGTACTTGTAGTGGAATGTAGGTTAGATAGAGTGTAATTATATTCTTTCAAGTAGGTGGGAGTATGAAGTGGTCTAGTTGTTCTTCTAAGAGTAGGTACAACATCACAAGATGGAACAGAAGCAGACATGGATTGTGTGGTGGTTAATGGTGAATGGGTATTCTGTCCTGCAGGTGAGGTTGTGTTTTCAGCAGTATCATTGATTACTTGATTAGTGGGGACTTCATGGGATGTGTTAAAGTCCAGTAATTCATCATTAGAAAACATGCTTGTTGAATATGGAGTGTAAGTAGAAGTGTTGGAGTGATGGATTAAAAGCTTTAAAACAGAAGGAAAACTAGAACCATCAGGAGCAAGTACAAAAGGAAACACAGACTCATGGAAAATAACATCTCTAGATACATGGACTCTTTTGGTAGCTAAATCTAAGACCTTGTAACCTTTTGTATTGAAAGGATAACCAACAAAAATGTGTGGTGTTACCCTTGGTTCAAACTTGTCCTTGTGAGCTTTTAAAGTAGTGGGAAAACATAGGCATCTAAAACTTCTAAGATGAGAGTATGTAGGTGGTGTATGGTACAGTAGTTCATAGGGAGTTTTATTCTGTAAAGGTTTAGAAGGCAATCTGTTAATAAGGTATGTGGCTGTTAATACACACTCTCCCCAGTACCTCATGGGCAATTTAGACTGAAATAAAAGGGATCTTGCTGTCTCAAGGAGGTATTTGCGTTTTCTTTCAACTATGCCATTTTGTTGAGGTGTATATGGACAAGATTTCTAGTGTATTATTCCCTTTTCTTGGAAAAATTGAGTGGCCTCAGTAGAGGTGAATTCCAGACCATTATCACACCTGATGGTCTTCAATTTGGTATGGAATTGATTTTCCACAAGACATATGAAAGCCTTGATTGTTTGTAGAGCATTACTTTTGCACCTTAGCAGTTGTGTCCAAGTTGATCTAGTGAAATCATCTACCATGGTTAAGAAATAGTGATAACCATCATGAGTAGGAATGTGATATGGTCCCCATAGGTAAACGTGAAGTAACTCAAAAATTTTACTAGTGATAGTTGTGCTATTTGAGAATGGCATTCTAGGTTGTCTAGCCATGGGGCATATGGCACAAGTGAAAGGTTGTTTGGTAGAGAAAGGAACAGGTATAGTTGGAATTCTTTTCATTTTTACAAAAGGTACATGACCTAGTCTAGCATGCCATATGAGTTCATCTGTATGAGAGTTATCAGACTTAGCAATAAAAGAAGAACATTCAGTAAGATGACATGAAGAAGAACCAGGTTTGGGACAATCATCTTTATTATCAACAGGACAATGTCTTACAGTAGATGATGTTGAAAACTCATTACACTTTACTAAAGAAGGAACAAAAGTACAATGACTGGAAATGACATGAGGTCCTTTGCTCTTAGTTGAAGATGAACAACAGTTATGACACTTTGAACATAGGAAATATAGGCCATTCTTGGCTCTACCAAGTTCCAGAGGGCTCTTCAGAGAAGGGCCCTGCAGTAAACAAGAAAAACTGTTAAAGCTTACCACACCTTTGAGTTGAAATGCTAGACAATGAACTGATATTAGATTAAACTTGAAACTAGGAACAAACAACACTTTCTGTAGAGTTAAAACTGGACTTAAACATACATCACCAATCTCAGTCACTTTAACTTTGTAACCATTAGGTAGGCTGATAAGGAAAGGATATGGTAATGGTCTAATGTTTGTGAGAGTGTTTTTATTGTAGGTCATGTGATGTGATGCTCTCGAGTCTATGATCCAAGAGTCAGCAGTTAATTTTACACATCTACAAGAAAGATCACATATCTCAGTAATGGAAGAGTAACAAGCAAGTATACCTGCCAGATTCACAGCTCCACTTAGCATGTTGTCTGAGTTAGGAGCTCCATGTCCAACCTGCAGGGATCCCAAAAGATTGAGCAGCTGTTCATATTGATCTTTGGACAAGTTCAAAGGCATTTGTTTCCTCAACTCAGGGTCTTCTTCACAGTGGTTCCTATCATTCTCAGAGGTGCACATATTTGCTGCAGAACCAACACTCTTCCCCTTGGTAAACTTCGAGTTGGATGGATATCCATGAAGTTTGTAGCATCTTTCTCTTGTGTGACCTGTTCTCCTGCAGAAATCACAAAACAAGGAACTCCTGCTGGTGCTAGAATTACCTCTAAACACATTTGTGTTATTCAAATTCCCAGAGACTCCTGTGCTCCATTTAGAGGAATTGTAGTTTGTTCTGGGGCCTCCCTTAGATCCTGTACTACTGGCAAGAGCATTCAGTGAAGTTGAGTCCAAAGCTGTGTGGTTGTGAGGTCTTACTTCCCTCTGTTTTTCCTCTTGAGACAAAATGGCAAAAGCTTGTGCCATACTAGGCAGGGTACTCATCATGAGAATGTTTCCTCTGATGACAGTGTACATTTCATTCAGTCCCATCAAGAATTGTATGAGTCTTCTATCTTGTTCAACTTTGACCAACCTTATCTTACCACCACAAGTGCAAACACAACTACATTGAGAGCTTACATCGACAGTGCTCATCTCTTCCCAAAGTTTCTTCATTTTTGTGTAGTATCTAGTAACATCCAAGGTGCCTTGGACAAGATCATTTATCTCCTTTTGAAGCTGGTACAGCTTACAGCCATTAGTCTAATCATACCTTTCTTCCAATTCAGCCCATAATTCCTGTGCATTGTTAACGTACTGCAGACTATCCCTTAGATCTGGTGACAAGGAATTCAAAATCCAAGAGGTTACCATATCATCACACCTCTCCCACTACTGGAAGCTAGGATCATCTGGATTTGGTTTTACAACTTTCCCATTGATAAAACCTGTCTTACTCTTAACTGACAAGGCCCTAAGAACAGCTCTCCTCCAGGATCTATAACCAGTACCATCGAAAACTCCAGGCAATAGAAATGAACCTGCATTCTCGGAAGGGTGTAGATAGAAAGGACTAGGAATCTCAATCCTAACTGTGGATGTAGAACCACTTGGAATTGGATCAACTTGTTGATCAACCATATCGAAAAGAGATCAAGTAACAAATTCAATTTGAGGAACAACAACTGAAACTCAAAATTGAAACAGCAAAAGAAACTCGAAAAAAAACTTTGAGAATTGAAGCTCATAGACTATTGTAGATGCGGAAAGGAAATAGGATCTATGCCCTGTGCTTTGATACCATGAGAAAATCAACACATTGTGATGCCAAACAATCAAATTCCTCCATTGATGAAATCAAGTTCATATGAGAAAGGAAGAAGAAAGTTCTGGAAGAGCTAACTGGAAAAGAAACTGTTTCATTGAATGAAAAATTAAGTAGTGATTGTTACATGTGACTCTATATATATAGATACACGAATTGTAAGCTAGCTAACCAACTTTATGCAAATCTGACTTTCTGTAACCAACTCTAACTAACTAACTCTGTGAAACAGTAACAATGCTAACTAACTCTGTTAACTAACTCTGTGAACTTTAACTAACTAACTTATATTTCATCATACTTGACTTTTTATAAAAAGTATATGGGGAACAGTTTCTCACACCACCCTTTCCCGACCTCAACCCAGTGGGGTTACATTGATTATGTTATTATTAAGTCAAAATTAGTGGTTCACAAGTTGAACCCAAGTAAATAAGGAAGCATTTGCCTCTATTTTCCTAAAGGTTTTGCAGGTGGCAAATGAAAGATTTCAAAGGAATAGGAACAGCCATATAAACATTTCTGCAGCTATGACAGGCATTATGTTTAGTTTTGAGATAAAATAAACCACACACAATGTCGATTACAAAGAGGAAATTAAAGATAGTAGACCACAAAGCATGTAACAAGAGAGGATCATTTAGGTTAAACTCTAACTGCCAAATATATATACATATACAAAGCAAGAGAGAATTGTTTCACCTTGAATAAGCATTTAAAGGATCAGATTGTGTTATTTTAAAATTGTGGAAGAAAGAAAAAAAATGTACCTTGAATACGTATTTGAGAAGAGAAACATTATTATCTCCATGTTAGTCAGCAAAACTGTTATTCCATTGTTTGCATCTAATTCTGGATTCTCTGCTTTCCGCACCTAACAATGTGTATTACTCCTCCGTCCCTATTTACTCATCAAATACTCCTTCATCTTTTTTATTGGCTTAAGTCATATGCGCTCCCTTAAAATTGTTTGCATATTTCAATTAGAAACCTCAACGTAGCCTCGTACCTATTGAACACTTAAATCTTAACAAATTTATACCTATTTAACACAAAATAATAATCAATAAAAAGACAAACATGCGTGCATCTCAAACACATAAACATACTAAATAGACCAATGAAATAATGACACGTGTCGATTGGATTAACTTATTTTTAAAATTTTATTTAAATAATTCAAAAGGAATTTTAAAAAGAAAAACCAAAAATGATTTTTGAATTAACCCATCCCCACTCCCACCCCACCCCACCATTCTTCTTCATCTTCTCCATCAGAACTAATTTCCCTTTGCACTGGGCCGTTGTATCTCAATCGTCAGTATACCATCGCCTCCCCTTTCTTCTCCATCAAATCTTATTCCTTTCACCGACATCGATAATACACCATTGATGTCCAGTTAAGCTACCCCTTATCCACCTTTCATTTTAATAGAATTACATCTTCCATTCATTGTCTTCATTTTCTTTTCACTACCAATCATTTATCACAATTATAAGAAAACTTTTATCGAAAAAAATCAATTACTTCACTGAAAAATTATTTTCATCGAAAATAATGGACCTTCGCCGGAAATATTTGAGACTATAATTAAATCTATATAAAAAAAAAAAGGAAAAACCTGATAGTCTTGATCTTGATCGTTCTTGAACTTAAGTGCTTGAATTCTTAAACTTGTAGCTTTATAGAGAATTTTATGGCGTTTGTACCACGAATTTTCTCTAGCTTCTTGTTTAGAATTTTCTGTCTTCTATTATGAATTATGAGGACCCCTATTTATAGTTTTAGAATAGAGGAGTTGTGATTGGAACATGATTCCCTTCGACCAATCAGATTTAAGTGACATGTCATATGAGCTTTATGGGGCGGGCTTGTCACTTTGACACATGTCATGATTCTATTGGCTTATTTGTTTGACTTGGCATGCCACGTCATTTGCCATGTGGCACCAAAAGAATGGGCCTCTAGGATAAGATGACATTGGACTTAGCAAATTGGGCTCATATATAGTCCAAATCAATTAATTTTGACTTTAAAGAAATTCATATTTATTGGACTTGAATAATTAGCCCAATTATATTAATCCATAATATTTATTTGGACTAATATATTCATGAATTTAATATAATTCGAATCATCTTATAAAATTATATTTAATAAATTTTAAATGATTACAAATGCCCCCTGCTTCAAGTCTTGTCGAGATATTTTATTTTTTTAAAGACTAGACTTGAAGTAATTAATGAAGATCTTCTTTAATCTGTGTCTGCATTGATGAAGCTGCAGCCATGCAAAATGAAGAAGAGTAGGGCCACCTTTATTACCAAGCTCATCCTGCCCCCACCTTCTTCACGTTCAATTGAACCCAATATTGTAATACGGAATTTTATCAAATAGTACTGTAACATTAAATTTCGAACTCATAATGTGATCAGATGGATTCAATAGTCATAACTTAAAAGGTTGATCCATCAAATTTAAATTCTAAACTCGTCTATGTCTCTGAACTCGAAAAAAAAAATCAAGGCTTTATTAGAAAAAAAAAAGAGTAATCCTCTTGACAAATTAATAGGAGAAAGAAATGGACGATCTGCAAATCTTCTGGTATATAATCAATGATACCGATGGATGATCTATAAATATATGGTCAGTAAAGCTAACTGAAGAATTAGATTAATGGCGGATCGGAATAGTTAATAGGAACTGGAAATTTATATATAATAAAAAATGCAGAAGAAAAATGAAGTTAATAGGTTAACGTTGATAAATTGGCATGCACGATAAATTTGGTGCGGGGTGAGGAGGGAAGAAGGAGTGATAGCTGAAAATGGAAATGTGAGGGAGGGAGAGAGTTACGGGTATCGGGTTGCCCTATAAGGTGGGGTGTGGGTTTATTTTGGAATTTAACCTGTTGTATTTGTTTCTTTATTTCAATTTATTTGTGTTGTTTTCCATTTTAGCAACTTTTTGATTCTAAATCTGCAGTTTTGACAGTAATATATTTAAGATCCTAAAATTAAATGACAATTTTAATATATATATTTTATTTGTCTTCGTTTATAATCACAAAATTCAAAAAAAAATAAAAAATAAAAATTGTACCAAGTTAAAACTAAATTACACCATAATTTGCACGAATATGATGTAAACCATTTGGAGATAAAAAAGAAGATAAAATATAATTTGATATATGAGTAGAGGTAATTTGATAGTGTAAAATCTTTTATACCATCTATGAAAGTTGACAAATGACAACCTAAAGTAAATGGTTAGTAACATTGATACAAAGGAAAAATGACCTGATATATCCTTCTACTTTGCTATTTAAACTTTATATTATTATTATGAAAGTAATTTTTATATATTCTATTATACAAATGACTTATATATATAACATCATGACATGTAATTTTATATCGCGATATGAAATTGAATGTCAAAACTCCTAGTACTCGTATTTCAAGAATAGTCATTTTGCAATTATATCCTTTCCTATTTTAAATAGTCTTCCACGTGAATTCTTCTCCTCCCACTTTTAACACATTTTCCGCTTTATGTCTTTGTTCCATGCACCTTCCAAGCCTCGAAGATAGTGAGTAGTGATGATGACAAATCTACAAACTCATTATCTGGACTTGTTGTATAAATTTTTTGATGAAATTCGGGTTGAATCACCATATATCCATATACCTTCTGCTGATTTTTATTCAGATCTGTGTTGATTCTCTCGGGACTCATGATGTAACTGATCCGTTTTACTGACAGACAAATCCATCTTTTGCTCCATAAAAATCCGCAATTTTTCACTTCCCGCTTAGAGTTGATTAACAGGTTTGATAACTCTATGCAAAATGTTGCGGCCGTGGTGGAGGCCGGAGGGAGGTACAAGAGCCCCGAAAGAATCTGGCTTGGCGGCGGGTTATATCGATCACAATGGATAGTCGAGCATGTAGTGACATCTGACGATGTTAGGGTTATCAATATCCAGGAGAATTTCAATCCCTCGGGATGCGAACGCAGTGTAAAGTTCACTGGTGGGCATTTGTTGGACCTTGTACAGGAACTTCCGAAGCCGGTGCCCGGAAGAAGGGAAAAATTCACCATGGTTCCGCTGCTCAGAGGAAGAGGGTGGTGCCGCCGTGAATAAGGTTATAATTATTTTGTTTAATATTTTGTTTTTATTTGTTAAATGTTGAATGAAGAGAAATCATTCATAATATTCTTTTATTTTCTTAGTTTATATTGAAGCCTAGTTTTTCGTCCATCTTGTTATTCACCGTCTCATTCATAAGTCAATGTAATTTTTTTTCAAATGTATTAACATTGTTTAGTATAGTCAAATATGTATGTTGTTAGCCTCATAAAAATTACAAATAATATTAGGTATATTTTTATATCTTGAACCCACTTCGTGAAAATCCTGGGTCCGCCACTGCTTAGCAGATAAGATTATCAACAGCAGATAGAGACTATAGTTATGGATCCTTCATCAAAAAGATAAAGAACATAGTTATGGATCAAATATAATGAAAGATTATAGGATCACTACTGCTTGGAAGACGAACAGTAATATGTTCAATTCGACTTCATAGGTAAGTTTCCAAGCAGCTTCCTCTTGCATTAACAATTACAGTAAGGCAATGACATTGACAGTTACATACACAATCATCTCAAAATCCAACCATCCAAGTTAATTACTTCTGACATCTAATTGCATCCTCATATTCTCATACATGATGCTATCTCGGAGTATTGGCCAATCAGAGAAGTGCATGTTGGTGTGTTTGCTTGTTTGGTGTGCAAGCTATTACTACT